GACGTCATTTGCCTAAAACTTCGCACACGTCTTAAGTGGGTCAAGGTCATCATATACACCAATATTTAGGCGATTACGACAAACTTCGCCACAGACATCTATTCAAAATACATTTTTGCTAATTTTCAACCTGTCGCTAGAGGGCGCTCGAAGATTGCATGACGTCATCGGTAGATGATTTGAAGAATACTGTCAGCCAAGAGACTAACACCGTTAAAAGCAAGTTCGTATCTATTACCACTTTTAAATGATAAGCCACTTCCGGTTTGGGCCTTTTTCGACCGGAAGCAAGGGTCACGTGATTTCACGCACACTGAATGAAATAAAGACCTCAACCTATTCTACCACTTGCCAGCAACAAAATGCTGCGGACGCGTACGGTTGATTTCTTATGCATTTTTGAATATTAAAAGTGTCACATTTTAATTGCCTATAAATACACACCTGATGACGTCATCATGACGTCATCATTACACAATGTTGTTTAAATTAGGGTCGTTGCTTGGACAAAGATTGGTGTAAACGAACTACTGGCAAAGAGTCAAAAATGCCCTTTGCAAATCGACAATTTTTTTTAAATTTCTGTGTACAAAGTCTATGGGAAAAATTAAATATTCAAAAATCTATAATAAATTAGTCGATGACGTCACCATGACGTCAATCTTCGGGACACATCTTTGCTATAGGGACTATGCTTATGCTAACTTTGAATGATGTATGACAAAGATTAATGCCAAAAGTGGCGTTGAGAAAAAACGTGCACAAAGTCTATGGGGTTTAGGCGACAAAAAGAAGAAGCCAAAAAAAAAAAAAATGAGAACAAAAACAAAGGCTTTTCCGCAACTTTGCGGAAAAGCCAAAAAAAATCAGAACAAAAAGAAAGGCTTTTCCGCAACAATGCGGAAAAGCCAACTAGAGGTCTATGTCTGTTTGCAACAGAACATAGGGCTTTTCCGCATTATGTTTTTTTTTGAGGTCATGTTTTTTCTGTTTTGTGCAAAACTGTGTGCATTTACGTTTTGTCTAACAAACCTCATTCAAATGGAAATTTGATTTTGGCATATTGCATTTGTCATATATAAAATATATATATAATCACAAGATGACGTCATTATGATGTCAGCTCAATATTTATTTGTAACACAACCCGGCCTGCCCCCATACCAAGTTTCAACCCAATCGGATGTACTGTTCATGAGATATAGGGGCTTAAAATATACAAGTTAACAATGACGTCAAGTGTCTAATGATGACGTCATCGTAACAATACTTGGCAGTGCTCATTATTTTATTGTGGTTTTAGTCTGTACCAAGAAATCAGATTAATAAAAGTGTTGAATTTTGTAAGCAGAATAAAATTGGCAATATTAAAAAAATCTTTAAAAATCGACCGATGACGTCATCGTGACGTCATTCAAGATTTTGTGTACTAGTGTTATTATCTACCCACCCACCAAGTTTCAAGACGATCAGACATTCCGTTATATGTTTTTCGAAAAATCGCATTTTTGCTGACGTCATTATGACGTCACACATTTTTCCAATTTTTGTGCATTTATCTAATGCCTAGCGAACCTAATACAAAAAGAATTTTGAATTTATCATATTGCGTTAGTGAGATATGGCTTAAAGGTCCAAAAATTCAAAAATCTATATAAAATCACACGATGACGTCATGATGACGTCACCTCAATTTTCGTCTATAACACATCCCGATTCACCTACATACCAAGTTTCAACTCAATCGGACTGACAGTTCTGTAGATAAACGACTTTGTAATATGCATATTAATGATGATGTCACGTGACCCATGATGACGTCATCATGACGTCGCTCGTCCGCACACATCTATGCTGTATGGACTATGTCTATGCAAACTTTGAATGATATGCAACAAAGTTTAAGGGCAAAAGTGGCGTGTAGAATAAACATGTACAAAGTCTATGGGGTTTTGGGAAAAAAAGAAGAAGAAGAAGAAGAAGAAGAAAGAAAAAAAATCAGAACAAAAAGAAAGGCTTTTCCGCATTTTTGCGGAAAAGCCAAAAATCAGAACAAAAAGAAAGACTTTTTCGCAAGAATTGCGAAAAAGCCAAAAAAACGAGAACAAAAAGAAAGGCTTTTCCGCACTTTGCGGAAAAGCCAAAAAAAAACTAGAGGTCTATGTCTGTTTGCAACAAGGGCTTTTCCGCATTATGTTTTTTTTTAAATGGGGTCATGTTTTTGGTTTGGTGCAAAACTGTGTGCATTTATGTTTTGTCTAACAAACCTCATTCAAAGGGAAATTTGATTTGGGCAGATTGCATTTGTGAGATACGGCAAAAGTCTTATATATATAATATAATCACAAGATGACGTCATAATGACGTCAGCTCAGTATTTATTTGTAACAAATCCCGGCCTGCCCCCATACCAAGTTTCAACCCAATCTAAATTACTGTTGATGAGATATAGAGGCTTAAAATATACAAACGATGACGCCACATGTCTAATGATGACGTCATTCTAACAATACTTGGCAGTGCTCATTATTTTATTGTGGTTTTAGTCTGTTCCAAGTTTGAAACAATCGGATTAATGAAAGTGTTAAATTTCCGAAGCAGAATAAAATTGGCAATATTAAAAAAATCGTAAAAAATATACTGATGACGTCATCGTGACGTTATTAAAGATGTTGTGTACTAGTGTTATTATCTACCCACCCACCAAGTTTCATGACGATCTGACATTATCTTATATGTGTTTCAAAAAAGCGCATGTTTCATGACGTCATCATGACGTCACACATTTTTCAAAATTGTGTACATATACCTATTGCCTAACAAACCTAATACAAAAAGAATTTTAAATTTAATATATTGGGTTCGTGATATATGACTTAAAGGTCCAAAACTTCAAAAATCTATATAAAATCACACGATGACGTCATGATGACGTCACCTCAATATTTATTTGTAATACATCCCGGCCTACGCCCATACCAAGTTTCAACCCAATCTGACGTACTGTTCGTGAGATTAGGGGCTTAAAATATACAAGTTAATGATGATGTCACATGTCTAATGATGACGTCATCGTAACAATACTTGGCAGTGCTCATTATTTTATTGTGGTTTTAGTCTGTACCAAGTTTGAAAACAATCGGATTAATAAAAGTGTTAAATTTTGTAAGCAGAATAAAATAAGCAATATTAAAAAAATCTTTAAAAATCGACCGATGACGTCATCGTGACGTCATTCAAGATTTTGTGTACTAGTGTTCTTATCTACCCACCCACCAAGTTTCATGACGATCAGACATTCCCTAATATGTGTTTCAAAAAATCGCATTTTTGCTGACGTCATCATGACGTCACGCATTTTTCCAAATTTTGTGCATATATCTATTGCCCAGCGAACCTAATACAAAAAGAATTTCGAATTTATCCTATTGCGTTAGTGAGATATGGCAAAAGTCTTCAAAAATTCAAAATTAAATATAAAATCACATGATGACGTCATCTCAAATTTTATCTATAACACTTTCCCGTCTAACCACATGCTGAGTTTCAAGCCAATCGGACATACCGTTCTGTAGATATAGGGCTTTGAAATATGCAACGTTGCGATGACGTCACATGACCCATGATGACGTCATCATTGCGTCTATCTTCGCGAACGACCTTTGCTATATGTTCTGTGACTATGTTAAGTTTTGATGTCATATGACTTTGTTTTATGCCAAAAGTGTTTGCTAGAAAAAACGTGCACAAAGTCTATGGCATTTTGGTTTTGAAGTCCCAAGAGGAAAAAAAAAAAAAAAAAAAAAAAAAAAAATTCGTAGAGAAACAAAGGCTTTTCCGCAACTTTGCGGAAAAGCCAAAAAAAGGAAACTAGAAATGTGTTTGTGGACAAACACTGAGCTGTTTTGACTGTTTTATCAATGAAGAAAATGTTAACATTTGAAAAATTCATACAATATCTGACGATGACGTCATGATGACATCACATCAGATTTTGAATGCTTTTATCTATACCTACCTACCCACCAAGTTTCATAACGATCGGACATACCCTTATATGTGAATCACAAAACACGTTTTTGATGACGTCATGATGACGACACACATTTTATGAAATTTTGTGCATCTATCTTTCACCTTACAAACATGTTACGAAAAGAATTTTGAATTTACCATGTTCCATTGGTGAGATTTGAGTAAAAGGTCCAAAAATTGCATAATTTATATAAAAATCACATGATGACGTCATCGTGACGTCACTGCAATTTTTGTCTGTAACACATCCCGGAATACTTGCATACCAAGTTTGAACCCAATTGGACATCCGGTTCTGTAGATATAGGGTCTTATAGTATGCACCTTTAGGATGACGTCATGTGACACGTGATGACGTCATGATGACGTCATGATTTGGCATACATCTTCAGATGGTTGTTTAAGTGTGGGCCAGGTTTGAAGTCGATCGGACCGTATTTTATAGAATTTTTGCAAAATTTGAAGAAAATATTAAAATTTGAAAAATTCATAAAAACTCAGATGATGACGTCATGATGACGTCACTTCAGATTTCGAATGCTGTTATCTATACCTACCTACCCACCAAGTTTCATAAAGATCGGACATACCCTTATGTGTGAATCAAAAAATCACGTTTTTGATGACGTCATGATGACGTCACACATTTTACGAAATGTTGTGCATCTATCTATGACCTAACAAACCTGTTACAAAAAGAATTTCGATTTACCACATTCCGTTTATGAGATATGAGTAAAAGGTCCAAAAATTGAATAATTTAAATAAAATCACACGATGACGTCATCATGACGTCACTGCAATTTTCGTCTATAACAAGTCCCGGAATACTTGCATACCAAGTTTGAACCAAATCGGACTTCCGGTTTTGTAGATATAGGGCTTTGAAGTATGCTCTTTTAGGATGACGTCACGTGACACGTGATGACGTCATGATGACGAAAAGTTTCGGCATACATCTTCAGATGATAGTCTAACTGTGTGCCAGGTTTGAAGTCGATCAGATTTGGAAAAAGGCAAAAAGTGACTTGTAGAACGAAAACACGTGTTATGCTATGAGAAAAAAAGTGGAAAAAAAAAAAGAGAGAAAAAAAAAATAACAAAAACAAGAGCTGTTTCGGCGTGTACACCGAAACAGCTAAAAAAAACCTTTAACGAAAACAATAGCTGTTCCCAATTGATATTGGAAACAGCTAATAATAATAATGGCTATATATAAAGCGCACGTATCCACCAGGACTGGTGCTCAAGGCGCTACATCATTATTACCCCTGCTCATTGGGCACATGAAACATTCCAAATACCATCTCAGCTCCCTGGGGAGTATACAGCTCGATGCAGCCTGTTAGGCGCAAGGCAGCTAATTCAATCACAATAACCATCTCTGCCCTCACAGGTACCCATTTACTCCTGGGTGGAGAGAAGCAATGAGTGACAAAGTGCCTTGCCCAGGTGCACACGCACCATGACCCCGCCAGGATTCGAACCCACAACCTGCAGCTTTACCCGCAGACCACGAATCAGTGCCCTTAACCACGAGGCCACAGCACTCCATATTAAACAAATAAGCCTCTCACACGTTCCGGATTTCAGTTCATTTTGTATCTCCTCAGGAGATATTGACAGTGGAAGTGGAAGTGGAAGTGGCAGTGGCAGTGCCTCTGGAGATATTGACAGTGGAAGCGGAAGCGGAAGTGCGAGTGGAAGTGCCTCTGGAGATATCAACTTCCTCTGTGCAGATGGAACGACGCGCTTCCCATTTTCTTCGTTTTGTGACGGCAAACCCGATTGCCCTGATGGAGAAGACGAGGTGGGCTGTGGTAAGTGGTTTTTTTTTTTCATTTGGTGAAAAAACCCTACTTTTTTCTGTTGTCTTTTCTCGGAATCATGAGGAGCGATATCACGTTTGTGCATTGAAGTGGCATTATATGTTCACTTGCATTTTCCCAAAACTGCCCTAGCAAATTGTTATCAAAAAGCTACCATGGATTGAAGATTGCACAAATTGTAAAAGTACACTTTTGTATACGTATAGACCGGTGAACATTCACTTGCATTTTCACTTGCATTTTCCCAAAAGTGCCCTAGCAAATTGTTATCAAAAAGCTACCATGGATTGAAGATTGCACAAATTGTAAAAGTACACTTTTGTATACGTATAGACGGGTGAACCTAAGATTATTCTTCTTTTGTTTCAAAATGGACTCCTTGTTTCGTCTGTATACCCATCGCACAGTTGTCATCACTTTCTGTATCGTTGCCTTTGCGAAGCTTTTCTTGACATGTGTGCATGAGGTTGCACATCTTGCAATATTAAACAAATAAGAATTATAAAGTGCCCTAGCAAATTATCAAAAGCCAGTGGCGTAAATCTGTGCTGGCGAGTGGGGGGATTTCTAAAAGGTTGTAGTGCCACAGAAGCCGCTGAACTAGCCCTATATAGAGACCCACAAACCCTTAACCAGGCCGTACAATACACTCAGACAGCAGCCTACAACCATAAGCTATTGTCCCGAACGGGTAGACAAAGGGTGAGACATGTGTCATTCAATGAAGATACCCCAAGTGTTCATAGGGTCTACGTAAAACAACCGGGGGAAGATAAGGTTGACATTCATCTCGACTGGTCAGAAATTAACCATAACATGCGAGAGATCCTTTCCCTTTTGAAAGACCAAGAAAGTCAATCAACCCTAAAAACTGGAAGCTCCCTTGCTCAGTTATATGGGCAGACAATCAAAACTGACTCACCACAGGCGTCCAGTGGTTTCCTGTCGAAACCCCGGCGTGCTGAACCCCCAGTGCGCAGCGCAAGTCCCAGCTCACCCTCCAGGTATCGATGCTTTAAGTGTGGCCAAGAGGGACATTTTGCTAGGAACTGCACGACTGATAATGCTCGATCACGATCCCCTTCACCCTCAAGTGCGACCCGATCTTTTGAAACTCATAGCAGCCGGTCGTCTTGACCAATGACCGGCTTCACCCAAACACATTGGTCATCAACCTACACTAATACCAAATCAACCGCTGGTATTTGACAACGATAACATAGAAAGGACAGGGATAGGGATCCGGTTGAGAGAGGTGCAATTTACATCCAACTATAATGGCATAAGCTTAGTAATACCACTAAAGATTCAAGGGATTGTATCCATAATTAGTACAGACCTAGCTAAGCTTATTAGTCCACCACTCACGTTTGTAGAAAGGGTAGAAAGGGTACTCCTTGAAGGGGCAGGAAAGTCGAGCAGTATCAACGCTAAAAAGGTTCCTAACATTTCGTTAGAAATAGGTGGTCGTAGGTATTCTTGGGACCTTCTGGTAGCACCAATTGCAGTTAGTTTTATACTAGGCCTAGACTGTTTGAAGGCACAAGGTGGAATGATAGATCTGGTCGATGATGTGATCCTTAAAGGGAACAAAATAAATGCCGAAATGCGAAAGAATCAAGATGAAAAATACCTCATACAACAAATTACACTGGAAAAGAAAGTTGTGGTTCCCCCAAATACCTTGGTTCAAACGCAAGTTACGCTCGAATCTTCTTCTGGAAAGTTATACCTGATCCTTGCACCAGAAAGAAATCACAAGGGACTTTTCATACCATATACACTAGTTCAATCAGGAAATGATCCCACCGCAACCAGTTCCCAAACCTGCAAGTTAATCTATATGTCTACGTAATGATAGCAATAGGTATATACACCTTAACAAGGGCCACTTAATAGGCAGGGCAGAAGAGGTTAGTGAAGTCATTACGGAACCAGACCCTCATGCGTCAGTAATCGAGGAACTAGACCGGCGTTCGCTGGACAGTTCCCAACAACCACTCTCGGTTAATGAGGTCGTTGTTCAAAACATCCCTTTGCATGTCCGTGAATTATGGGGAAAATCATGTTAACACCTTATCCCCGGGCAATCTGAAGAACTAGCCAAAATACTCACGAACTATGCAGATGTTTTCTCTAAAGATGACATGGACTTGGTCACATTCTCGGCCGTTCAACATCCAATTATTACCGGTGATGCCACTCCGATTAAACAAAAATGCGGAGAACACCTTTAGGCTTTGAATGTGAGGAAAAAACCCACCTAGATGCTTTACTGGCACCGGTACTTGTCAGGGAAAAAGATGGGAAGGTACGCTACTGAATCGATTATAGGGCCCTAAATAACGTGACGATTAAAGATGCTGTCCCTTTGCCTAATATAGAAGAATGTCTAGAAGTACTAAATGGAACTAAATTTTTTAACACGCTCGATATGAGTAGTGGTTACTACCAAATAGAAGTACGGGTAGAAGTACGGGAGGAGGATAAGCATAAAACAGCATTTATCACCAAATACGGCTTGTTTGACAGCCACACGCCCATTGGCCTATGTAATGCGCCTGCAACATTCCAACGCGCGATGACACTGATACTTCGAGGACTAATACCTGGAAAGAAGTCCTTGCCTACCTAGACGATATTATTATCTTAGGAAAGGACCTTGACGACTCTTTCCAAAACTTAGTTAAGGTGTTAGAGAGGTTTTGGAAGTGTAATCTAAAACTAAAAGCAAAGAAATGTCAACTATTTCAGGTAGAAGTGGTATTTCTAGGGAAGTTATGTAGTCGCCGTGGGATCTCCCCTAACCCTAGTAGTGTAGCTGTTGTCAAAAACCTACGCCAACACCTAAAGATGTAGAGAGGTTCATGGGACTCGTTAACTGGGTCTCGTTAACTGTCTTCTGGGCTTGGTTTAGAATCCTCCGACGAATTGTTGGATTTTGTTGCCCGGCGATCGTTGGGCGATGCAAATTCAACATTTCGTCTTGAGGAACAGGAGTTGTGGGATAACTATGATATGTTCATGGGACTGCCCACGGAGACGGAGAGAAATCTGCTGACCCCATCACGCGTATCGTCACTTCTGCGCTGGAGAACACTACAGCGGCTTTTCATGTTGCTACCCAAAACCCCAAATCCACAACCAACAGAGGATATTGTAGATGCCCATTGCCACGTAGATCGTTTGTTGAATGTCACACACAACAAAGGGACCCTCAGTCAGTTCATGAAAACGGAAGCCATCGAGTGTCAAGACCTTGGTGGTTGTGTCGCAGTCTTCAGCGACTACAACAGATGGTTGGAACTTGTGTCCGATGACTTGATCTACGAAGCAGTGGAATACCACCCAAAACAGGCGGCCAACGTCACACCCAAGTCAGAACAGACGATCCGACAACTGATGAGCCACCCAAAAGTGTGTGCATTAGGGGAAATAGGTTTAAACTACTCGGCTGCACATCGTCGGCACAAATTAGTCCAGCAGACTGTCTTCTTACGTCTCCTGAGGCTGAAGCTTAATTGCCGTTGAACTAGATAAACCGGTAATATTGCATTGTCGGGATGCTAAAGACGACTGTCTCCAAATTGTCGTAGAATCCCTTCCCAGAAATTGGAAGATCCATTTGCACTGTTACTTCCAAGATTGGGAAAGAGCCCAGAAATGGTTGGCATATTTTCCCAAGTTGTACATAGGTCTAACCCTTCGTCTCTGGACAAAATCCGGGCCTGAGAAGTGTCGCTAAAAGGATGCCCCTCAGCCGGCTCCTGTTGGAGACGGATGCCCTGTATTTTCCATCCAAACAGCCTGGGGAAACTCCTTCAGCAACCCGGCAATAGCGAGACTCGTTGCGCTAGAAATCTCGGAAATTAGAAACATCCCATTCAAGTAGTACTCGCCCACTGTCTCAGGAACACAAAGGCGGTATATAACATCGAATTTCCGTAAATATTCATTCATGTTAAATACAGTACGCGCGCCACACATGCTTTTATTTCATATCTCAATTTATTAACCAGTCTTAAGAAAGCTTATCATATAAAACGCTATGTCTTAGGAGCCAAAAAAGAGAATGAAATTTATGTAATATTAATTGCTGTAATGAGCACGATTAGAACCAGATAAGAGAAGGAAATTTATGTACTATTAATTGCTTAATTTAACCTAAAGTTATGTGTGCAAGGTCGACTCTTTGAGTAAAAACCTTTTGAATGACTTACTCAAGTTTGACTATAAACAATCTTATTATGACTCAGAAATAGATAATATTGTAACGTGCGTCGCCTTGTCGGTCCCTTACCTCTCTGGCCCAGTCCCGATGGAGTTGAAGCACCTGCGGTTGGAGGCCACATTACCAAGTGACGAACAGCACTCCCAAGTCTGCTCCACCAGGGGAAAGTGCTAACTCAACTAGTGTTTGGGATTTAGAGATTGGGTGGATTAACCTGTGGTTTTGGGTGGATTAGCCTGTGATTTGGGTGGTTTTGGGTGGATTAGCCTGTGATTTGGGTGGTTGACCGGTGGCTCTGGGTGGCTGACCGGTGGCTCAGGGTGGCTGACCAGTGGCTTAAGTGGCTCAAGTGGCTCAAGTGGGGGAGACTTACACCCTAATTAGTGACAGTTAGACAATAAAACAGAGACAGGAGACTTCTTTGTCTTCTTTGGTCCCACCAGGCGAAGAAGTGAGATTTATTCTCTTGAACTGTGCCTTTTATAGGCCAACATGGTCATATACATTCACATACAATAAATGCCCCTCATTACTAAAGTACACAGGGTGCCTCAACCAATGAAAATGCAGTATTGCTTAGTAGATGACTTAAGCCACGCCCACTAACAGCGCTGGCCAATTAAATGCTGATGTTCTAGTATGAGTGACTGGGCCGGCACTAAAGAAAAGTCACTATACAGTTCATGTTAATGTATAAAACGTATAGTTGATGATTCATCACAATATGTATGCTACACAAAATAAAAAATTTAAAAAAGTG